GAGTCTGCCCGCCCACAGAAGCAGTAAAGTTTTTCTCTCCAGTAAACAGTGGCAGCGCCTTCACCTGCAGAAAGTCACATGAAATGATGGAGTTAGCCAGTGGGTCCATTATACAAAACGTACACAAACACACAGGTTGTACATACGTCTTTCTCCATGTAGTAGGCCATTCTGGACAGGTCATTGATGCGCTCTCCTTTTGGCTTAGTCACATCAACCACAATCATGCGAGCGTCTGGGTCATACTGTAGAATGACAGGATGTTAGTTAGCATGGCAGTGGTGCTTTTTGCTTTGTTCTAAATTACAAGCAGTTTTTTGTTGGACTGTCACTCACCTGAATCTCCTTCACCAGGCTGGAGTTAAGTTTGTAACGGCTGTTAATTTCATTTGCAATAGCACTGTTTTAAAAAAAGACATTAGGATGGTGAGATCTGGAAATGTCAGCCTCAGCATGTTTCTTAACTTTTAATAAGGGCTGAAGTGGACTTACGTCTTCAAATTGTCTTTATTCACGTTGGTGGGCCCCTCCTTGTGTGTCAGCTGGAGACGGACCCAGCTGGAAGAGGGAAAAATAAAATGTTGAATACTTGAACTATTCATCCTCACAGCAATCCTTCACTATAGTGAAATCACTTACTTTGTCTCCACCAGCTTCTCACACTTGAGGGTCTGGTCTCCCTTGTCAGTCCGACGAACTCCAGCGCTGTTGACGCACCAGCACACATCTGTGTTGTTGCACTGCTTGGCCTTGAATTTTCCGTCATTCTCACATTCAGGGTCATAGATGCCATCGTTGTCCACAATGGCGGTCTCATGTTGCTTTCCTCCAATAGTGCGAGTGCTCAGGCCCTTTCTAGCTCTGTCCATTTCAGCTTTCATCAAGAAGCACTTGGGGACCACTGAGGGGGGAACAAAATGCACAGCATGAGCAGGCTGGAGTGTCAAACAGAGGACATGAAACAGGAAGGAGCCCCTTTACCACTTCTAAACTTACATGCTGTGCAGTCTAAGGGCTGTTTTGTACCATTACCAATCAGAAGAGTACATGAACATGGGGTTCCGTCGCATATAGCCCACTTCATAGTGGCACATGTACCTAAAGAGAAAGGAAAAAAAACAAACCCACCATACTAGCAGGTTATTAACAGGAACTCAAATACGTAACCACATTACTATACTGTGACTTCCCGA